GCCCAGCTCACTGCATAATAGCAAAGCATAGAAAAACTAAATCTGAAGGGGTTAATTCCTCACCGAGTAATGTGGAGCAACAGGAGAAAATCTATTACTTTTCTAATCCAGAAAATACACAAACCTGAAAACAGCTGTCTCCTAGGAGAAAATGCTAGGCAATTACAACTAAGAGAACTATAGTTGAAGGCAATTTTTCTCCAAACTGCCATCCCCACCTGAGAATTACATTCTCTATTTTTTTAGAGAAAATTAATGAAATGGAAATTTTTTTAAATCACAAAAGCTTACCTTGTACAAAGTGTTCAAAATGGTGAGCCGTACCTTTAGAGTTTATTTTTTCCTAATCAGTCCTATTCAACTCTTCTAGAGATTAAACCTTAATAAAAATCAGTTCAAAATTCTTATTTTAATATTAAAATGTTATTCAGTGTACATGGGAAAGCCGGATCTAAAGAAAGGAGAGATCTTTGTGTAAGGATGGAGAAAGAGAAGAATTTCAGGAATACCCTGCCCTCCGCTACAAACCACCTGCCTGGCCCTCAGCACCACTGCTCCTGCCGGTGGGACACACGTGCCGTTCCCTAAACGTGCTGTCACCATCAGCTGAGACACGCTCCTCCTTCTGCCCTGGTCAGGGTCTCCCTCATGAGTCAGGAATGAATTCCATGTCCCTCCCTCTGCGGATTTCTCCCTCCATCTCAGGACTCCCGTCTCTGAAATTTTACAGTCCGTTCTTCAATTCTACTGGTTTGTAAAATTACATTTTAAAATACAATGTACTAGGATTTTTTAATAAGGGCTATGAATACTGTGATTCTCACAGCATATGACACATACTAGACACTCATTAAATATATACTAGATGATAATCTTTAAGTCACCTATACAGCATATAATTAACCAAGACGGGTACTTCTTCTCTTTAAATGAGACCTCTATTTTTCTATCCTTTTGAAAATGCTGTTCTCATTCTTCTTGTCTAATTTGTCTTTTTAAGTCTGTTACTACAGACAGTGACAGGAGTGACTCGGGGCATGCAGCGGAAGGAATCATTGATAAGCACGCAAGGCACATTCCAGCTTCCTAGACGTCTCACTTTTCCTGTCCATGGCCCTTGTCAAACAGTGGGTATAACCCTCTTCTGCGTTTCTGCTTTCCTCTATTAGCCTAGAAGAAAGAAGAAGCATGAGGCTGATACCATGATCCACTCCCACATGTTTTGCACTGAAATACACAAGCAAGCGCTGCTTTTATTATCATTTTACTGAGTGATTATCAGATAGTATAGAATTGCAAACTAGAATTTTGTGAACTGAATTATTCATAAGAGCGAATTTCAATAAACTGAACATCAACTAACCAATGCTTAGAGCCATCAGCTCTGGCTCGCAAATATTTTCCTGACGGGGGAGTGTTGCTGCGATAGATGTGAGGTATTGTTCACCTGCTATTATTAATAACAGATCTACAGCCAGGTGAAAAGAGCATTGTCCCTGCCATGAACAGACAGGCCTGGATTTAGCAGGCTTTTTTCTTTTCTTTTTAAAGAAAGAAATCCTCAGAATTCTAGTTACGAGATTTAGAGCATTTCAATCTCATGGCCTATAAAATCTTATGTTCAGAGGTTAATAAAATGAGATTAATTCAGAGATACTACATGTTGGGTTCTTTTCTTCTTTCCTTTGATGCTTTAGAGGAAGCCTCTGCGCTAGGGAGAGGATGCTAGGACAGCTGGCTACTCGTGGGAGTCCACTGCCACCTCGTGGCTGCAAGACAGACTCACCCAGAACTGTGACCGGGACAGGAAGGGACCCGAAAAAAAGACGTGTGTGTCCTGAGTGCTTCCAAAGCTGTGGATAATTTACAGTGCCGTCTCGCACTGGAGTGGTAGGGAAAGGTATCCAATGCTTTAGTCTGGGAGAGGCCAACGTCCTCCTTTACAAATCTATGCTTTGAGGAACTTGTCTTTATGTTCCAGTGATTTCTCTTTCAGAAATTCCTAATAGCAACTTTGCGTAGGAACCAAGCTAAATAATAAAATAACTATAAATGCTGAAATACATCTGCTTGTGTAAAGGGTGGTAGACTGAAGAGACAAGAAATTCCATATTGATCTCTGATGAGTGAGAACTGGCAAATCTGTCCAGAGAATAATCCCAATGTTAGTACAGTTCACCATTATGAGTCACTCTGAGCTGACTGTGATTATTTCTCTTAAGTAAAGGGCAACCGTCTCTTCCTTATGCTCTTAAACTTTTCAAGAAATCCAAATGCTAATATTTTTTAATACAAGGTTTTTTAAATTTTTTATAAAAACAGCACAGATTTACCATGGAAAACATTAGAAAAATAAACATCACTATAATGTGAGCATTATTAACATATATTCTTGCAGGCTGTGAGAAACACCCAGGCTCCCATTTTCTTTTAAAATTTAAATAAAAATAAGGCTAGTGGTAGCATATATACTCAGTATGTGCAAGGTCCTGAGTTTGAAACCTAGCACCAAAACTAAAGAAAGAATATTAAATACTTCTAGAGGCCAGGGATATAGCTCCGTGGCACAGGGCCTGCCTGGGAAGCTTGAGGTCCTGAGTTCGATTCCCGGTATGACTAAACAAATAAATATTTCTGAACGCATATATGTATACACATACCTGCCTCTATTTTCAGCAGAAAAGATTATCATGAGAACTTGTTCACACTACTTAATACTCCACAAAATGTGGTTTAAGGGCTGTCTATATCATCAATTAGATAGGCCTTAATTTATTTAGCCAGTTCTTTTAACTTCTTTTTTGTTTTTTTTTAATAATTGGGCCCAATCTTTCAGTGCTATAAATAACACTATAATGAATATCCCTGTGAATGAATCTTTGTACTGATCTCTGCTTATTTATTTCAATAAATCATTAGGAAAATTTATCCCTTAAATGTTGTGCCTGTTGGCTCCCATGAGAAATGTCATGTTATTTTATTTCCTCTTTGCCAAACAATAGATGAGAAATAGAAAGTCACTGTTATCTCCCTGCAGATTTAACTGGCAAGTCTTTGGCAATAGTGAAGCTAAGTATCTGTAAAATATTTATGGGTCCTTCGCATCTTGTCGGGCTTAGGGAGGGGTAGGGTTATTTGCTCGCTAGCTTTGCTCTTTTCTTTTGCAAATGGCCTGTTCATGCTTCTTTCTAATTTTTTTCTGGGAATGCTCTTTTCAATGGATTTCAATCTTAAGACTAAATTAAAAAACAGCACACAATTAGAAAATGAGTAACAGGGCTGGGAATATAGCTCAGTGGCATAGTGCCTGACTGGCAAGCGTGAGGCCCTGAGTTCAATTCCTGGTACCAAATAAGAAAACAGTAAAAACAGAAAAGAAAATAAGTGTCAGCTCGGCGCAGTGATGCATGCCTATAATCCCAGCACTCCGGAGGAGGAGGCAGAAGGACCATTTCGAGTTCAAGACCAGCCTGAGCTACAAAGTGAGCCCAAGTCCAGCCTGAACTGCACAGTGAGAACTTGTCTCCAAAAGACCAAGCAAAAAAAATAAATAAGAAAGTAACTGTTTCAGTATTACGATCAGACAAAGTAGAATTAAAGGCAAAAGATGTCGGGACTCGGAAACAGTAAGCCCAAAATCGGGCTCTGGCCTGCTGCCTGCTCTGATCTAAGCTCACTGGACAGCCCCAGAGCAGCCTCAACGCCAAGACCTCTCTGCCCTTGTCTGCCCGCTAGCCTCCTGACTTTCCCTCCTGCCTGAGGAGAGCCACGCCGTCCAGAATCCCCCTTCTCAAAGACGTATAGTAAAAACTAGAACCTTTTCCCCCCACAGCCAGCCATAAAACAAGAAGTATTACTCTGACCTTTCCCTGTCTTCCTGGCTAGGAGACGGACATAAAAAAATGCCTGACCTCCAGCTGTCCACTAGGCAGTCACAAGGTCCTCCTTCAGGGGGCCCCTGTCCCATGCCTGGGGGGAAGATGCTGCACACAGTGGCCCTGGGGGCTCCCCTCCTCCACCTCGGCGTATTACAGGAGCTCACAGGCTTCGGTCCGGAGCTCCTCCACCCCGCTGTGCCATTCTTTATCGCATCTAAGCATAAACACAGCCAGGCCTCTCTAGCTCTGGGTCTTTGTGTCTACAGGCTCCGGCGCCATACAATACTTTTATTAAATAATTTGCTAGGCTTCTCTCATTAACCCGTCTTTTGTTATGGAAGCATCACTGGTGACCTCATGAGGGACAAGGGCAGTATCACACCCTGCCCGCCCCCGCGCAGACAAGAACCAAGACAGCCGCCTTATTCTTATAAAAGGTAATGAGTTACGAGTACACAGTTGCTGTGTGTTGAAAAGCATTCTTAAAATAAAATAAGCAAAGCCAGGTAGAAATAAAGGAAACACTCACAGGACAGAGGAGAAGGGTGTTCTCACAGAATGTTTTGATACAAATACATTAAGTTTAACTCATCCTCAAAATTTTATTTCTTTATAGTGCTGCAGCAGCAAAATCAAACACTTCTATGACACTGAAAACCTTAATGTGTTCTAAAGAACTGAAATCACACAGTCACCATTTCCAAGGATAAACAGGAAATTAATCATGAAGGAAAGAGACCTTTTCCATCACTATTGGGTCCTTGCAGAACTAGGAAGTGCAAGTATGGATCATCTGAATACAATGACAAATCCCACCGAGGGTGTGGGAAGGAAGGGATGTTTGATTCACGCCCAGCCTCAGGAATGCCCAGTAGGAAGGGTGCCCCCCTAGGTCAGGCAGAGTGGGCTACGCCAGCCTCGGATCAAGGTCGGACTCTGTCTCCTAATGCCAGGATGGCAGGGCCCTCCCAGGACAGCCCAGACCCCAGGACAAGTTGTTGGAGCCCCGGTGGGAGGCAGGGCCAAGGGGAAGGGTGGGCAGCAGAGGGGTTGTCCTCCACCCTGCTCCTTGTTCCCGCCCCCCACTCTGAGCATGTTTTATCAAGATTCTTTTGTTCCCAGTCTAGGAAAGGAGTCCACAAATCTGCACTCACCCACCTCACAATGAAAATGCGGGACAGCGTAGAAAAGGTATTGCCTTCTGAAGTGTGCAGCTTCTGTTTTCCTCTTTCAAAGGTACACAATCCCCATTTCCTTGTTCCGCAGCCTGCAGCGGTGCTCTCAGTCCCAATAGACTTCGAGGAATGTGTTGGGCTCGGTGCCGCTGGGGCAGTAAATGGCAGAAGGTGTGGGGGACCCAGCCCCACCCTTCCATGAAGCAATGAATGTGAGAAGGCAAGGATCGGGGATAAGGGAACCCCAACACTGGAGCGTTGAAGCCCCAAGATTTTGTTGGGATGTGATTTAAATCAGCACCCTTTTCCAGAATTCCTACTCTCTGGGTTGGCAAATTATACCCAAGGGCAAAATCTGCTCCATCCCTATTTTTGCGGATGAGATTTCCTTAGGACTTGGGCACATTTCATTCAGGTACTTCCGGCGGCTGCTTTACTGCTACAACAGAAGACTTGATCAATTCCTACCAAAAACGGCAAGGTAGGTAGTGCTTGTTATCTGGTGCTTCACTGAATGGGAAGCGAGAAAGACCGGAAGCAGAGAGGTCAGCCATGGTCGCACTGCGCTCCACGGCCTCCAGCTGCGCCTGGTCCCGCCTCCGCTGTTACTATTCAGTGTCCTCGATCTCGTATCACCTCACCCAGATCCCAAGGCTCAGATCGGGGCACTTGGTGGAAGGCCCTGGCTGAGATGGGGACCCATTGCCTAGGCAGAAGTCGGGGAAAATAAAGTCTGAAAAAGATGCTAAAATGCATCCCAACTACACATAACGGATGAGAAGCACCCACCTGATTTCAGAGAATGATGTTATCAGAGACCACATTGTCTTACTGCCTTTGGGATCCAGCTCCCTTTCTTACTTCTAAACCTCCCCTCCTTATGCCCGCTGGCACCATACGGCAGCGCCTTAGTGCCCACAGCAGCATGCGGTCCTGTGCTCCTATCCACAGAAAGCGCTTCCACTTAGCACCTTCCTGCTCTTCGGTCCCAGCCTGGTTAGCACTTACTCCTTCATGGAAGCACAACTGCAGGGGCACAGACGCTCAGGGCACAAAGAGAACAGCTGCCAGCCCATGTCTCTGAGCCCGGCCAGATTTAAATTGCTGAAATTTGGAGGAAGTTGGAGAACCCAGGGCAGGAGGCCACGGAAACAGTGAGGAATCTGAGGCTGTCAAGGAGAGTTTCGCTGTGGTATGCAGTGGAGGCGTCTGACTTCGACAGCTAGTATGTCTACACCTGCTGGATTTCAGTCCTATACAGTGACCTGTTTGTACACCACAGTGCACATCGGAGATTGATTTATTCAGCCTCTATTCTAATGCACTTCCACCACCTGTTTTTTTTAATGTAGTAAGTTGTAGTCAAATATCCATTTCCCAGACGCCTTTGCAGTTATCTTAGAGTTGGAGTTGCATACATACTTAGGTTCCTCCCTCCAGCTGGATGAACGTGCACAAAATGAGGAATGAGAACTAAGTTTTAATGAACAGGTGGAGAGTGAAACTTCTGTTTTGCTAGTGCAAATCATGACAGAGGTGATGTGACGCCAAGACCACAGCTCAGTAAGGGGAAGGCCACATGTCCCTCAGTGTCCCGGTTCTGCAGTGTGGCTTTGGAAGCTCTGTTTACTTTACTCAGAGCCCCACTAATTCAACATGATGAACGCCTCGATAAACGCCTTTGCTCTTTAACCAGCTAAAGGGAATACTCATATCTATGACTGAGAAGAATAAGCAAGTAATTTCACCAAAAGCGAAATCCAGAAAACTACTTTGAATGCGAATGTGGGACTTGAGTCCAACCTCCTACAGGCGGGCTGGCTTAGGTCGGCTGCGGTGCAGATCCAGTTGTTGGGTGTTGGGCCACAGTCATGGCACACAGTGACAGACTACTCAGCTTGCCACCTGTGCTTGTCTTGAATGAAGGACACTGAAGAGCAACTGACGACCGAGGGGAGCACGAGGGACACATAAGTCCAGGGAAGCAGTCACCAAGAGGATGACTTTCCTTAAAAAGGGAGAGTCACACACCTAAAAATTGTTAGACCCAGCTCCACCCTAGCAAACATACGACTGTGCGACACCAGGCAAAGCAAGAGAGCTGGGGCTAATGACACCTGGTGTGTGCCCCAAGTGCACCCCACAGCGACCCTGTGGAGACATAAACAGCCTGTGGCCGCTTCCACAGTGCCTGCACTCAGAACACCTGCGTGCCAGAGGTGTAGCTCAGTGGTGCAGCATGTGCTCAGCATGCACGAGACCGTGGGTTTATTCTCCAGCACACACACACACACACACACACACGCACACACACACGAAAGAATAGACAAGCATGGCGAGCGGCAGGATCTTCGATGTGCCCAGGGGGGTTCTCCCGGAGGACCCTCTCTCTGTGAAGGCAGCAGTCAACACAAGCAGGAAGGACACAGCAGATGCATGGTGGCCATCCATACGGCCAATCTTAGAACCTGTCTTGAGACAGAAGACCTTAGAGCAGGCTTCCTAATCTTAGCTCCGCCGATATTCCAACCGGAGCATTCACGCACTGCAGAGTACATAGCAGCACCCCTGGCCTTGAGCCAGCAGCACTCCCTCCTCGTGCTGACAACGCCCCCAGACACAGGAAGAGACAACAACCACATTGGGTTAAGGAGCACAGAGCAATACACACTAAAGCTAATCAGGGGTCGGTGCCATTGCACGTACGGGTCTAGAGATGATCCCTTCCCTAGGAAGCAGCCTGGCTCTTGTCAAGCCTATTTGTATTTTGAAGGCAATGTGTAGTACATAGGTGCTCATGCCACTTTCTCTGCAGTGTGGGAGGCTCTAGCTTTCAGAGAACCCAAACAAGACCCGACCCTCTGGCCCAGCCTGCACTGTCTGTGGAAGGGGGCGATGCATGGAGCCCAAGAGGACAGTCGTGGCAGAGGCCCCAGTCATACACTGATAGCTCTTCTCTTTTCGAAACAGCTCCTGGCTTTCTGCCAGGCCTTGCAGAAGCACCAAGTGGCCGTGGTTCCTGAACTTCCCAGTGTGAGCTCTCAGTATTTCCACTCCTTGAAGGCGTGAGGTTGCTTGGCCTCACAATGACTGCAAAGAAAACCTGTTCCTCTCCTCACAACACTCTGGCACCAGACATGTGGGTTTCCCTCACGGAGGAATCCTCCAGTGCTCTGAAGACATGGATGAGGTGTCCCACGGTTTAATTTAGTGCTGACAGCCCTGAGATAGCACAGCTCACACAGGTTAAGGACTCCGTCCCACAGACTGCCATCAACTGCAAGTTAGTGAGTCCCCCAGTTACCCACATTTCTGCCCAACGTGGCTACAATTCACGGGTGCCCATGATGCCCATGATCTCCTCCTCAGACTCAATAATTCTCCAGAACAGCCCACAGAACTCAGGGAAACACTTTGCCTACTGCCATCCATTTATTATAGAGAATATTACAAGGGACACAATGAAGACCCTGATCCAGAATAAGAAGAGGGTCCCAAGCATAGGAGCCTCTGTCCCCAGGGAGTTAGGGTGCACCACCCTGTGTTCACCACCCCAGGAGCTCCCCAAAATTGTTCAGGGATTTTACAGAGGCTCCGCTCCACAAACATGATTGACTGAATCACCGATCGTTGGCAATTAACCTGATTTGCAGTCCTCTCTCCTCTAAGGTCTGGGAGTAGGACTGAAAGTTCCAGCACTCTAATCACATGCTTGCTCCTCTGGCAACCATATCCCCCACCCTGAGCTATCTAGGGGCTCCAGGGCACCAGCATCACATTAGCATAAAAAGACATCACTCTGAAGATTTCCAGCGTCTTAGACAGTCTCGTGTCAGGACCCAAGGCCAGAGACCAGCATCTGCCTCTTCCTCTGTCCCTCGGGTCCCAAAGGCACAGGGAAGGGTGGGGGGAGTGGGCCTGACTCAACAGTGCACGGCTGCCTCTCTCAACCCACCCCGGGGCTTCCTGGGAAGCGGAGGACGCTTCCTGCTCTCCTCGTACGCAGCATGCTATGCTTCCGGTTTGCCCCGCACTCCCAGAACTTGGGCATGCTCTTACAAGGTCATCCTTTCCAGCTTCCCTCAGAACAGATTCAGAACTCGTGCCCACAGAGGTTTGCCCACTTCCTCTCCGTGTGAGAGCCGACGGTGACGCACCCACTTGGCTCCTTGCTCGTGGCCTCTGGGCACATTTGAACACAGAGAGATGGTTTAAAAGTCTGGAAGCAAAGGTGCTATGTCCCACTCCAGCACCCAGCACTGATCACACCCAGGGAAGAAAACTCATCGATCTGTTGCTTCACAGCACTGTTAAACTGCTGGAGAAGTGGAGGGAGCTTTGAGTATACGACACCAAGCATTCCCATTGGCCCATTTCCAGGCCCTTGCTCTAGCCCCAATAAAAAGATTTTTTAAAGAAAAAAATTAGGAGTAAACCATGGTCACCCTTTTAGGATACTGGTTTACCAAGCCTCTCTGAGCTTGGCGGAATCCTTATTCAGGTCCAAATAATCGTAAGCACACTCACATGGGGAGGGGAACAACGGATGGTAGAGAAAAGAAGGAAAAGTGGAAACAAAGCTTTGTAAATGGGAAAGTGGGGAAGGGCTGAAGGGAGGAAGGGGAATGAAAACAAAAGAATCAAGTAAAATCTGATTGAAGAAAAAAAGAGAAATTAGATGTAAACTGGGAATGGTGGTGAGTTGTGGCGACCCTCCTGCCTCAGCCTTCTGAGTTCTGGGATTACAGGTGTGCTCCCGATCTCAAAAAAAATTTTTTTAAGAAAAAAATTAGGAGTAAACCATGGTGACCCTTTAGGATATTGGTGGAATTACAGTCTGTATTATCTGATGAATTGATTTCTTGCCTATGAAAAATAACACTTATATGTTTCACATCAAATGCCCCGAGCTGATTACAAAAGCTTCAAAGTAAGGCACTTTTCAAAAAGTTACAATATTAAAGCTCAAATGATTTTGCCTCAATTCCTTCACCTCAGTAGTGTGTCACTATTTCTAGCATTGTCCACCAGGTGGCGTTAATCCACAAGCAATTCTGTTGCTAAGGAGGCGTAGGCGGTTTGGAAATGTTTTGGTACAGGGTTGCATTATCAGTCTGCAAAGAATGGCTCCTTCATTGCAACTCCAGGAATCATCAGATCAGGCACGGATCAATATTGCTGAGTCAGGGGCTGGGGATTTAGCTCAGCGGCACAGCGCCTGCCTGGCAAGTACAAGGTCGTGAGTTCGATTCCCGGTACCGGAGAAAAGCCAAAAAAGAAAAAGAAATATTGCTGAGCCATTCTCAGCCAACTTCTCAGCCTCTGCTCATTCATGCCATGGTAGCTGAAGCTCAGCTTCACCTTGGACATCCTTCCAGTCTCCAAGGCTGGAGGACACATATACACACATTTTTTTTTTTTTTTGGTACTGGGACTCGAACTCAGGACCCTGCACTTGCCAGGCAGGCATTGTGCCACTGAGCTATATCTCCAGGTCGGAGGTCATACATCCTCCTCCATCTCTATTACTTCCCAGGGCCTGGCCTCCTTAGCCCTTTCTTGATCCATGTAGGCTACTATAACAAATTACCACAGACCTGGTAGCTTATACACAGCATAAATTTCTCTCTCCTATAGTCCTAGAGTCTGGGCAGTCCATGCCCGGGGTGCCAGCAGAAGCAGGGTCTGGGAAGGGCACATTTCCCGGCTCGTACAGGTGCCTCTCACTGTGTTCCCACATGGTGGAAGGGATTCAGGAACTCCCCAGGGTCAGTTTCATCCGGGCTCTGATTCCTCTTGCCAGGGCTCCATCCTCATGACCTACACCGCTCAGAGGCCCCACCTTCCAATACTGTCCCGGTGGGGGCTAGAGTTTCACCACAGGAACTGGTGGGAGGCAGTCCCTGATTCCTCCAGGGAAAACAGCAGGCCAAGGGTCAGAGGCCTTTAGAAGATTCCATGGGCTCAGGAGAGGCTGCAGATCTACTGAGATCTCGCAGATGAAGGGCAAGTTAGGAACGGGGAGGGCTGGAGAGAGGTGAGGGACCTCCGTAGAGGGGGTTTGGTGAGCTGGGAGAAGCCCGTGCCTCACCTCACTGGGTCCCCATAGCAACCCTGCACGGAGCTCAGTGTATCTCATCCTGTGGAGGAGAAAAACCACAGCCTTGAGAAGCGTCCTGCTGGAGGTGAGACACTGGAATGAAAGGGTCTATCCGTTACCTTCCTACCATTCCACGCTCAAGGACACGTTTGCAACCCTGTTTTAAAAGCTGGGAAGCGCATGACCACCTGCCTCAGCCTCAACGTACAGTCTTTGTTCTTCAGTGCTGGAGGTGAAGCCAAGGGCCCTACCGCTGAGACACATCTCCAGTCCCTGGAGTCCTACAGTAAGGACCAGAAAGTGAAACCAAGGTGGTTTTTAAAAATTCCAACTCCTAGCTTTAGAAGGCTGAGGCAGGAGGATGACAAGTTCAAAGCCAGCCTGGACCACTTACTAAGACCCTGTCTCAAAATTTTAAAAGATTTTAAGTACTGCTCGTGTTATCTCCAAGAACATTAAGAGAACTTCATTCAGAACCAACAGCACCGTTGCTCAAGGGCCGGTGTTCCTGACCCCCATTTGCTTGCACCCAACCCTGCTCTTCTGTGTGTTCCTCCCGGACTCATCTCCCTCTCAAGTTCTCCTCCTCTGTCCTCGTTCCTGGCTCTAAGTCTCGCCCTTTCTTGCCTCTTGCACTCAGTGCCAGAGAGGAGCAGCAGCTCCGGATGCCGCTACAAGAGTGAAGGGAACCCGCTTCTCCCTCACATCTGGACGCCAGGTCTCAGCCCCACCCGGGCACAGCAGGACTCGGGAGCCGCGCTGAGGAAGTCGCCGGGGAGGGGAGTCCTCAGAGCCGAATCACAGAAGGGTTTGGGGGACCGGCAGGGGGACTCTTCCCTTTGTTTGATTTTTGCTGCTGGGGAAGGGATCTGGCCCAAGATCCCAGGGAAGAACAGCGGACAGAGGAGCAGAGAAGGGGCTCTCCCAGAAAACATTTCGGCCCCCAAACTGTGACTCAGCCCTGACTCCCGTGGTGCGTTCGCCGGCTCCACGGGGAGTTGGGGAGGGCTGCGGGGCACAGCAGGTGCAGATCTGATGCTCACAGGGCCAAGCGTCATCCGCAGGGACTGGCAGGGCACACCATGCCCAGACGTGACACGACTACCAGCCTGTAAACACCATCTGCCTCCGGCTGGGTCTCAAGCACAAGACAGTCCCCCGTACGGGACCCAACACTCACCATGACATACACTGCTTGGTTTGGCCAGGGAACCCAGATATTTGGTCAAACATCAGTCTAGATGTTGCTATCGAGGAATTTTTAGATGAGATTATGATTCAAGTCAATAGAAAGAGTAGACCATCATGTAGGTGGGTCTCACCCAATCAATTAAAGGCCTTCATAGAGCAGACAGAGAGCAGAGAAGAGGGAATTCCACCTCTTTGGACTCTAGCTGCAATGCCCTCTCTTCCACGGGTGTCTAGCCTGTGTGTGTGTGTGTGTGTGTGTGTTTGTGTGTACACATGTGTAGATGCAGTCTTCCCCCCACCATCTGCAAGATCCATTCCATGACTCCCAGTGGATGCCTGAATCCACAGATAGTGCCAAACCCTACACGCTTCACTTAAAGGAAGCACTTTATGGCTTCTCTTTGGCATGTCCAAATTGCCAGCACATGACTCTTGTGTTTTAAAGCCATTACTACATAAAATAAGGGTTACTTGAACACAAGCACTATGGTACTACAGAGTTGATCTAATAACTGACAGTTACTTAGTGACTAATGGGCAGGTAGTGTATACAGAGTGGATACACTGGACAAAGGAACAATTTATGGCCTACTAAGGATGGAGCAGGACAGTGCAAGATTTCATCATGATACTCACAATGACCTGCCATTTAAAACTTCTAGTTTGTCTATTTTCAATTTTTTTCTGTTTAAGAATCTCAGACTGAAGCTGACTATGAATAAGTGAAACTTCAAAAAGCAAAACTGCCCATAGGATGGCTTACTACATGTGTGTGTGCATGTGTGCGTTTGTGTGTGTACACACGCACTATTGGTTCTGTTTTTCTGGATAAACAACTCCCGCCACCTGGTCCCACCAATATAATCTCACCTAGCCCATCTTCTCCACCCTCGGGGCTCCCCATTTCCCTCCACACAGGTCTCCAAGACGCCACCCCACTTACACAAACCTCCAAGCCCCCTTGGCCTCCAAGACTCACCCCTCCAGCGATGCCCCTACTTAGGCTGCCGCGCCTACTGCCCCGCTGCTGCAGTGGCCCCCACCCAATGTCCACACAGCCGGTGCCTGCACCTCCAGCAACCCCCCACCTTCAAATGCCACTTTCGCCATCAGTTCCGCCCCACCAGCCCACTCACACTCTCAGTCCCACCACTGCCCACACTCGGAGCCCCTGATCCTTCTGCCTCCTTTTCTGCGAGAGCATGTATCACCTTCCTGCACATAGCAAGGCGTGCTTGCGTACTGTGATTGGTCATCACCCTCAACTAGAGTGCAAGCTTCAGAGGCGCGGACCATTTTTGGCTTAGCTCGTGACTATAAAACAAACTCCTGACGGTGTTCCTGAGACACAGCAAGTACTCAGCAGACCTGTGTGGTGTGACTGCGCCCCCTCCTGGGCCCGCACCACCACCGGCTCCCACGGAAATGCTCCCAAGGATGTTTGTGCTGGTGTCTTCCGCTGCGCTCTGCACTCTCCCTGGGTCGCACCCCCGCCTGGCTTCTGTCCTGCTCGTCGCACTGAAACAGCTCCTCCAGCACCAGGGCTCACACGGCCGCACCCCACGGGAAGTCCTGTCTTGGTCTCGTTGGCGGAGCCGCCCCCGGTTTGGCAGAGCCAGTCCTCTCCTTCCCGAACCGCCTTCTTCCCCTTCCAGGCCCTCACCGCTCCCGGCCCCGCTCTGACCTGCTGGCTTGTCCTTCTCGGTGTCTCACCTTCTAGACCTCTGACGGTCAGGTCGGCTCGCTCGCAGCCCTCTCTCCACTCACTTCCACCCTAGATGACCTCACTGAACCTCAGAGTCCCTTCTCCAGCCCTGACCGCTCCTCTCAA